CACAAACACCAAATCACTAAGCATTTTATGCAGCAATTTGTTTCTTCTTTTGGTGTGTACATGTTCAAATACACTCCAATTACGTTCGCAACCAGAATAAGAAGCATTTTGGCTAAGAATGTGAATAGCCAACTTCTGCAGATTCGGAGCATCAATACCAAACCATTTCCACCATTTATCTGCATATTAAGCATACATGTTAGTATCTTAATTCTTAATAAATAGAGCTACTATTAATGTACATAAATTCAATTACCTGGTTGTAGTTGTTGTGCAGAATCAATTGCAGGCTTCCTCCCAAAATTACCTTGTTGTTCAGAATACAAAGTCAGCTCCTCAAGCACCACATTTGTATCAGGACATAAGGATTGGTTCTCAAGAAGATCAAGAATGCCATTTCTAATAGGCCTTGTATCCTCAAAATCGTCGGCATACTTGAAAGTCGGATTAAGGAAGTATGCTGCCACAAACAAATCATGGCTCAAATTTTTATCCCACCTTTTGTTAATGATGCCTATGTAAGGCTTGTACTTCTCCACCTTGTCTCCACAAGTAGCCTTCACAGCTTTTGACACCCTAATCATCCCATCATGTACATACCCCATGACTGGTTTACTATCGGAATCCACAATGCGAAGTAATTTCACTATTGGAAATGGGTAGAAAATCGAAAAGCTTGTTCAAGTTTTGATAAGTTCAGTTTTCTTCTTATTAGCTTCATAATCCGTCAAAAGCTTGTTCAAGTTTTGTCTCACCTCAGGAGGAACCTTTGTGCATACATAATTATCCCCACTAACTCCAGATAGATGTTTTTTTCATTCTAGTGATTCCTCCACCGCTGAATACTTTTTCACAATATATGCAAGTGCGTACCTCAACCTTTCCCTCAAGATGAAAGGTACAATTATTCCAAGTTGGATCAGTTTTGGCTCGTACATTCTTTGTGGACACTCGTGGTTTACTAGAAGAAGCTCCTTGATCAACCGTCGGGGTTTCTCCTCCGCTTGCCATTGTTGTGAAAACAAAAATAATCAACATAATGTTAATAAACACCCACAATCTTGGCTGATGAATTACAAGCCGCACCAAACCACCAAACCATCACACAAACTGATCGCAAACCTTGTCCCAAACCATCCCATCATGAAATGATGCCCGTAGTCTCATAATACTTGGGGAGAAGAGGCAATTCGTCTTGTTTCGACCTCACCGGACGCAGGCTCCCGAAGAGGTACCGTCCAAGGAAAAAGATGAGATTTATTGTTAAACCCATCGCAAACCTTATCCCAAACCCATCCATTACGAAGTACCTTTTCTGAATCAGTGGACGGCGACCTCGCTCGGCGGATAGAACGATCAGAAGACAATGATGAAGGCGGACGGCGAGTCGGCGACCTCCTCTTTCTCAGATCCAAACTCCAGGGGCGAACGATAAAGGCAACATCCTCTTCCTCCGATGCGGTCGGGAAAGACCAAGGATGAACGATGGCCTTTGGTTGCTGGGGAGGACAAATCGGCAGTGGTCTCTGGTCATTGGGAAGGAGGAATCGTTGAGAGGAGGAAGACAGAGAGCGGCGCAAGGAGGCTGAATCGAGAAAGATGAGAGTTGCTGCGAGACTTAGGGTTTCTGTATTTCTTTTCTTTTCTTTAAATTTTAATTTTGTTTTTGTTTAATCTTATGTAAAAAACAACGTTGTTTTGTTTAAATAAAGAGACTGTCGGTTTTATTAAAACCAACCGAAATTTTGGGTCTATGCGGTTCAACCAGAAATACCGGCCGACAGCACATTTTGTTATACAAAGCACATACCATGTCGGGTTTGGCCCGGTTTTTGGTTTTTTCCGGTCTGATCGGCTGATCTGGTACGGTATCCTGGTCCCTACAGTTTTCATAAGCAAATTTTTCCCGAGAGATTTTCGACCGAAAGAAAGAAAATGTGTTTTATTCTTCATTAATTTTCCTCTCTACAAATGCATAAAATAAATATAAAGTCGTGTGACTTCTCGCCGTTTGTTGCGTTCGCTGGTTTCTGGGGTTTCAAGTACCGGTACGCCAAAAAAGTTACGTCTGTTCTATCCTGGGAGGAATAGTTCCATTAACCTTGGGTACCGTAGAGGGGAACTAAATTCTTTAAGTAGAAATAGTGAATTTTATTGGCTCGGATGGTGTTTATGCATGTTTTTGTCGAGTCTTGATTTCTTTTCTTTAACCTTTTGTTACTTGGATTTCTTTATTTGATTTGTGTTGCAAGAAACATGGTATATGTGAACAATATCCACAACATTCATCACTTCTTTTGATTGGTTTCTCCACTTTGTAGGAGCTTTCCCACTTGTAAGGGTACTTCTCCGTTAACAACATCATTTCTTGCTCCAACAGTGGCAAAGAATGACCTTCTAAAGAGGATTGAATACTTTGCTTGTCTCCATGTCAATCATGACGTAATTGGGGAAGGAAATGAATGAGCTAACTTGGATGCTTAAGTCTCGAACAACTCCAAAAGCTCTCCAAAGGGTGTTGTTGGTTAGCATGATCTCTACGTTGACGTACTCATTGTTGTATAATCTCATCTCTTCATATGTTATATAGTGGTGGTATGTTGACACTTGAGCCAAGGTAAATTAGACCTTTTTCACGTGATGGTCATCCATAGGACATTTGATGATGTAGTGCCAAGGATCGTTTTTTGCTTCATTACCGAGGACGAATTCTTTGTAACCCTAAGGAATTTTCTTGATCGTGGCCTCCTTAATTATCTTTGACCCTGTCATCTTCCTCCATGAAAGAGGGATGGATACTCAGCTTTTTTCTTCTCTTCTTCCTTTTCTTTTCTCGAAATACATTGACAATGAATATTATTTTTTAGAGTACAACGAACTCATTCCATCATGAAAGAAAATGAAATTTATGTTAGAATGAAGAAGATATTAGTCGATTAAAAAACTAAAGAAGAGTCGAGGAAGGAGATGAGGGTTGGGTGAAGCTTAACATTGATGGTGCGTCTAATGGGAACCCGGGCCCAGCTGGAGCCGGCGGTGTGTTGAGAGATGAGGTTGGGTTTTGGATCGGTGCTTTTGTTGCCATGGTAGGTGAAGCTTCTGCAGCTTTGGCAGAGCTGTGGGCTTTTCATCATGGCCTGGATGTAGCATGAAATTTTGGGTACCGTCAGCTTGTGGTTGAATCTGACTCGCAATTGGCCATTCAGCTAATTGAGGAAAGACATGATCCTGTTCACCCTTATGCCACTTTACTTGCGGCCATTCGCAGGAAGCTTAGCCGTGACTGGCTGGTGCGCGTTGTTCATGTATACCGGGAGGGGAATAGAGTCGCGGACTGGCTCTCGAAGCACAGTCTCGTCTATCCCTACGGTGTACAGGAGCTCGCACACCCGCCACCAGGGCTCACGACCATTCTTTAGGATGATATTCAGGGAGTTTCTTTCGAGAGGCGGATTGTGTCCCGCCATTGTAACTCTCTCTCTCTCCTCTTACCTCCGGGTAACTCCTCCCTTCTTGGCGGATGCCTCCTGGTATGAAAAAAAAAACTAAAGAAAATAAAAAGAGTTTATTTGCCAACCCTTAGATTTGAGTGCCACTTAAAATGAAGGTTCAAATATTATTATGCAATCTGCCAAGCTTATATAGTGACACTATCCAACGTTTAACCGTCGAGAGTTTTAACTTTTATCCAACTAGAGAGTAGGGAGTCCACTTTTATATATCAGTTCAATGTTATTGCCCTAGCCCAGTTAAAGAGTGGAGCGATCCCAATTGATGGGCTTTCAGGATTTGAAAACCCTGGCCCAAGTCCAAGCCATGACAGTCCGTCCAAACCTTTGCCAGCCTTTCCCTGCCATGCACAACGAATTGCATCATCTTATTACAACCTGATTATTAACTCTTAACAGTATATATAAAAAAAAAGAAAACAAATAAAATTGCATCATGCATCTTCCTCAAATAAGAAAGGAAACGAAATAAATTACCTCAGCTTACACCATCGATACCACTCTGAGGATGACGAGGAGACTGATATGATCCACACTAAATACTATTTTTTATTTTTGGTACCTTTTTTAAATAATTTTGTGAGAATGTCTTGATTTGAAATTGTAATTTAATTGAGAATCCGATAGCAAAAACAAAAAAAAAAAAAAAAAAGAAAGTAATAAGTAGATATAGTGTTGGATATTTTAACTTGATAATTTGATATGGAAGGTTTGACCACCTGGGCGAGAAGGAGATGAAGAAGAGCTAAATTAATGGTTTCTCCAACGGTTACAGCCCAATCCCTCCACCATTTATTCCCCAAAAACTAAAAAAAGCACAAATAAGAAAACTTAGTAAATGAAATCCAATAATTACAACATATTAATTAATTAATTAGCATTAATTGCTTAACTCTTGAAATTACCAAACTCACCCATATATATATATATATATTTCCATGTGATTAATCATATATAATGCTCCAGCATTTCTCATCAGGTAAAACTAATACCACGTACACAAAATATATAATTTGAACTCACATTGAGGCTCTTTTAATACCAATTAATCAAAACAAGCAAAATAGGTAGTGGCTAGGATAAATACTTATATTTGAAATTTAGAAATATATAGTGCGCTGAGTCTAGGGAATACTTGAAAATTTACAACTGCTTACATATGATTTGTGTACGTGTTCACTCATTTGGGAATGATGAAGAAGAAAGTATTTAGTCGGTAATGATGCCCATAATAACAATAATAATTATGATCAAGCAGCTGAAATAGGGCCCTTTTTTCATTTCATTTCATTTGATTTGTTTTGTTTGTTATTATTTACTTGACTTGACTCCCCCTGATTTTACTTTTGGTCGGAGGGAGGAAGTGGAGGAACTGAGCCATCTTCAAACGTGAGCCGTGCGATGGGGAGAGAGATCGACGGCTGAGGAGCTGGCAAGGCATATGAGAAGCCTATAACCCAGCCTTCCCACTTAATTAATTCTCAGCTCACTCCCTCCCTCCCTCCCTCCCCTTCCTCCATTATTACCAGCTCTCTCCACTCCCTTAATTCTTCCCCCCACCTCAATCTCTTTCTTTCTTTTCTTACCTTGTAATCATCATCATCATCGTCATACAGAAACCTGTCCTCTCCCAATCATGGAGGAAGAAGGCGGCGCGGGGTTTGGGTACGGAAGGAACAACCCCGTTGTCATGAATTCCTCCTCTTCCTCTACGACGGTTTACCGGACAATTACTCCGCCACCGCTCACCGCCATCGACAGGTTCTTGTGGGGGGCCCAGGCCCGAGGCGGCAGCAGTAGCAGCAACAACAGTATCAATCAGCAAACCCATTTCCCACAGCAGCAACTGATCACCACCACAACAAAAGAAGCGCCGCCGCTCAACGGGTTTCTTTACGGCTACAGTGATAATAATAACAACAACAATTCGTCGAATCCGTCGTCTTTTTTGTCACCGGCTGGGTTCCCTTGGTTGGCTGCCATGAGCTTCGGAGATGAGGACTGCGGGGGGCTGGGGATTGACTGGATGATGCTCGGCAGTACCCACGATGATGGCGGCGTCGTTGCTAAGGCGGGTGGCGACGAGGAAGGGGGAAAAGGCGTCGGAGGCAAGAAGGCGGGGAAGAAGCAGCCGTCGTCGGCTTCTGCCGCTTTGATCAAAGGCCAGTGGACTGAAGAAGAAGATAGGTACGTTGGCTAGCTAGCTGACTAGGTGTGCTTTTTTTACCATTTTTGGTGGGGTTTTTTTTTTTTTTTTGTTTCTGTTTCTGTTGATATTTTGTAATGAAAAAAAAAACAAAAAAAAAAAAAAAACAGGAAGCTGATAAGGCTGGTGAAGCAATTCGGGATAAGGAAATGGGCGCAGATAGCTGAGAGGCTTGCTGGGAGGGCTGGCAAGCAGTGCAGGGAGAGGTGGCACAACCATTTGCGTCCCGATATCAAGGTCTCTTTTTCCCCCTTTGTTTTGCCATTTTAGGGTTGAATCTGCTAGCTGGAGAATTCGATCTATTCCTTCTTGGTTTGTTGATGGTCATTACGGAATTTTTCTCGAAATAGTAGATTGATAGAGACAGGCTTTATATCGTGTTAAAATCTCTTATATCTTACTACTTGAGTAATTTTTTATTCACTTTTCTCCCAAATTCACGTTGATTTCCATTTTAATCCGCCAGAAATTTGTTAACGGGTTCGACCAATAATCTTTCTTATTTATCGTTGAACACTAAAATATTTTTCTCAAAGTGAAGGTTCAAAAATATTGAACACATGAATATATCGTGTTGTCCATACTTTACTATTTGAAGCTCCTCCATTTTAGCTAAGAATTCCCTTCATTTTCCTTGGCCAATCGGAATATCTCTCATTTGCAATAATCTCTAGCTACTTCGTTTGTTAGATTGGGGGAACTTTGCCCCTTTCCCAACCCAAAATCTAGGTATCGAAAACCATGCAAAAATTGTGTTTTTAACCTTTCTCCTTGTATGTTTCTGTTTTCTCCCCCGGCCTTCAGCAATCTCCTTTTTAATTCTGTCCTTGCGTGGGGAGCGAGCAACTAACTAACTCATTGATGCCAAGTTTGCATGTTTCTTTCTCCTAATGATTTTTGTTTTTGTTTTGTTTTGATTTGATTTGGGTCCCTTTTGTTTTCTGTCCTTTGCATGTAGAGAGTGCAGCTCATTGATAAAATAAAAAGAGTCAAATTTCTACCGGAGTGGATATCAACCGCTTGAGTTGTTTTTCACGTGATTTGCTTCGTTTTTATATTTTGATTCGTCGTAACCGTTCTCTTCATCTAATTTTAAGAATAAAGATAATTATTTTACCTTATTTTCTTTTTTTTATTATTTGTAGACTTTTTTTTTCTTCACTTCCCGTCACGTTAATTTTACTTCTTCATTGTAACTACCGATTCGTTACCAAACATGTGAATTGATACAGTGTGTCCTCGAGTTCAAATCCTTTTCACATCCAATCATTTTGAGGAAAATTTATTATAGCAACTGATAGGGGTTTGCACGTTGGAATCGTCCAGTCAGTTTCATAAAATTTTCAAAGTATACATATGAGAGTCAGCATTGTCTCAGATTTGGAACTTATGCACCAGTAGTGTCACTTGTAGAATTGAGGTGTCTTTTTTTGTTTATGCAGAAGGACGGTTGGAGTGAAGAGGAAGAGCGGATACTAGTAGACGCCCATGCAAAGATAGGGAACCGGTGGGCAGAAATCGCCAAGCTGATTCAGGGAAGGACTGAGAACGCCATCAAGAACCACTGGAACGCCACCAAGCGCCGCCAGAACTCACGCCGGAAGCAAACCTCCGCCAAGTCATCAACGCCACCCGACAACGACAGCAACAACAATAATGGCAAAACTCAGTCGTCCTCCTCATCCATCCTCCAAGACTACATCCGCAGCAAAACCCTGGAACTCGCCCAAACCACTGTGGTCGGCGCTAGTAGCAGTAGTACATCCTCCGCTGGCGCGGCCGACGGTTCCCTCCTCCCCTCCCTGTCCGAGTCAGCAGCATCAGACGACTCCACCACTCTCATCACCCACACCTACGACGACGAGCTCCTCTTCATGCAGAACCTGTTTGCCAGCAAGGAGCCTTCCCCTTCCCCTTCCCCGTCGGTAATAACTCTCTATGATCATGGCAATGCCGTCGTTTCTGCCCACGATGACGTGGACGGTGCAGAGATGAAGTCTTATAGTGTTGCTGCTGCCGCTGCCATGGAGAGTAGTAACGGCCGCCACCTTTATGCGGACCTGTACCTATACGATCTGTTGAACGCGGGAGCCACGTATGCATCCAGCTCGACCTCGCCTTCTTCGTTGGTTGCTGACGTGGGATACGGTGGAGTGGGAGTGGAGAACGGTGCCGGTGAGGGGAAGAAGGAGATGGACTTGATTGAGATGCTTTCTTTTACTTCTGGCTCGAATAGGTAGCTTTTGATGACTCGGATGCTGACTCAGCAGATGGGTTGTTGTCGTGGGGGAATAGTGCTGTTGTTGGGTTTTTCTTAACTTCAATTAGCTGATGATTGGAAATTTGCAAAGATTTTAGGGTTTGTTTGCTGTTGAAACCCGGTCAGGGCAGGGGAACTCGTTTGACAGACTGTTGGTTTCCGTTGGATTTTAACCGTTTGGATAAGTGCATCTTGGTGTGGAGTGTGGACATATTAACGACGAAATGGTGGGGAAAGGTTTTTTGGTCGGTGAAGAAGATGAGAATGACATGGTTGGTTATGCCGACAAGTGGTGTGTGTAGCTAGGGTTTCACTGCTCTGTTTGGGTTTCTCATCTTACGGCTTTCAAGATGTTTTGTCATTTAGTCTTCTCTTTGTCTAACAACTTCTGACTCAACTTTTTTCCTTTTCTCCCCTTGGACCTTCTTATCACTTGACCGACTTGGATGGGTTTGTGTAGATATTTTTGTGACAAACAATTTCAATGACAAATGTACTGTTGATCAATGGAGTTTCTAAATTTCTCCAACAATATTAATGACGATCTTTTCTTGGCTACTTATTTCTCGTAGTTAGATTTTGATTACTTTCTATTTCAGCAAGGGAAGGAAAAATTATAATTTTTACATATATATTGAGCCGTTTATCTCTAATTTTGGTATAAGATCATACTTAATTTATTCAGAATGAACTTAAAAGTATTGAGAATAAACTAATAATATTTTTTTCTTCGGAAAACATATTTTTGTGCTGTGAAAAATTCCCATTAAGCACCAAAATCAACTTTTGAAAAAGAAGAATTTTCTCTCAGAAGTAGAACCAATAACGCCCCAGCAACGTTGCTTGCTCACAAAGTCTGACCTTAAAAAATATGTAAGGAAGAGCAAACAACAACTTTCAGTCTAACAGAAGTGTAAATAGACTGTTGCTAATTACACTTCTGTTGCTAAGATTTCACAAAAAAAAAAAAAAAAAAAGACTGTTGCTAAGATCTACATGATTTATCAGCCAAGAACGATGAGCCATACAATCATACATTGCTTTGGAATCCAAAAATTCTAATAGTCTAGGGTTATGCTACTAGTGAATCAAGGTATAAGCATTGCACATATGTTTCCAAACCAAGTTTAACGGAGTAACAAGGCAATGATCTTCCCAATGAAGCACGTACGTACCGGAGGTACAAGCAGCAGCCTCCATTACGCATTTGAGTTTTGAAAAGTTGAAAACATGACTTGTTGATAAAATACGAGCATGCTCGAAGTGTGCAACGGTTCGGTCCAATTCAAATCAAGCCAAATTTATGAGAATTGTGTTTTAATACAGAAAGATATGGTAGGATTAAGGATCAGATCAATATTGTATTTGGTATATGATTTGGTTCAGTCTGATCCGGTCCAAATATCAATTCGATTAATTTTTCTTTCATATTTATAAATTTTATGAAACCAAGTACAAGACAACATTATAGTCGGTTCGATATTGTCCTAGTAAATACGGACGAACCCTTTAATTTATTCACCCCACTCATCTTGACCCATTTCAGGCTGGAAGGACTCCAGTTCTCATTATATATAAATGGTTCATCTTGAAAGCCAAATTCGAAGAATTGGTAAGAGAGGAAGGTGGAAAGAAGTTTTTGTAGGGATTGCTGGAAGTAAAATCACACCATGTAAGGAAGTGGTTAGTTGGAACTCGGAAGCTCCATAAACTAACAGTAATTGATTGTGCTTTTGGATAAGTGTATTTTAAATGCACGTATTCAAAATACGAGTATAAAGTTATAAATTTGAAATACATGTATTTGAAATTCAAACTCAATGTTTGCATATTATGCAAATTTAATGTATTTGAATTTATTTTATTTATTATATTTGATGCATAAACTTATTAGGTCTTACAATTTATTACCTGAAATTCAATGAAATTATAAAGATGCCTCAAAATTGGGTGAAAATTTACTTTTTCATATATAGAAATTGTTGTTTGCATATTATAGTACTTACACTTTAAACGTTTAAAAACAAGTCTCATTTATATGCTTGGTGAATTTCAAATCACAACTTTGGTGGTATGGATTTGAACCACAAATAATACACTAAATATGTGTTTCAAATACTAAATATCATATATAAATCCTCACCTTACACTTTGTTTCCGAGATGGGAAGAAAGGAGAGAATACAAAATATTGAGGGGAATGAAATTTTGAGGGTAAGGGAAATAGTAGGAGAATATGGTGTTTTTTGGTATAACGTGATAGGAAAAGTAAGAGGGAAAAATTAAATTAAAAATGTGGTAGATATTTTTAAAAAATATGATAGATATGTTATTTTATTAATAATGTAATAATAAAATAAAATTTTAATATTGTTTTAATCAATTATAAGTTGTGAAACTGTTTTTATGTTCACTATCTTTTTTGTCACTAGAAAATAAAACTAGACAATTTGGAAAACAATTCTCAAAATAACACAATTTTTCTATTCATGTTACATTACGTGACATCTTCGTCATTCATATCCTTAAATTTACTTGAAAGTAGCAGTTTATGCAATTCATTTTTTCATTCATATCATAATAAAAAAGAGTAAATTGCAAGTTTGGTAACTGAGTTTACTAAAAATGTTCATGTTTAGTCACTAGAAGTATTTAATTTCATTCTTGGTCACTAAAATTAGTTAAGTAGTTCAGGTTTAGTCACTCTCCATCCATTTCCGTTATCTTTATCTTACGCGACATTCAACTCTCATAATTGACCGTTAAATGAGTGACGTGTTAATTAATAAATAAAAATATTTAAAATTTAAAATTTCGAACACATTATCCCAATTATTAAAAAATTAAAAAAAACATATTACCTTTTAATTCCTAAACCACCTCACCCAACCCTACCCCTCCGGCGTTAACTCTCCTTCCTTCCCGCAAATTGCTACCTTCCCTCCAATCTCACAACTCCGCCACCAGTCCACCACCTGCACCTCTACTTCCTTTTCCTTTTGCTCCACAAACTATTACCCGTTCCCCTCACAAATCCTTGCCTTCCATGGATCAATCAGGAGCTTCATCCAATCATTCCAGCAGTATCTAGAAACAGTTCCTCTTCCTTTCGCTCCACAAACTACTACCCGTTCTCCTCACAACTCCTTGCCTTCCGTGGATTAATCGGGAGCTTCATCCAATCGTTCCAGCTGTATCTAGAAACATAGCAGACGAAAGCCTCTATTACGTCGGCCATGCATTGTTTCCCACCACCAACTGTTTATTAAATCTCCGGATGCCGCTGCCGCGTCGACGACATCATCTCCAAGAATCAATTTTTCGTTTCCCTTACCCGCCGCCGTATCCCCTCCTTTCTGTTCTTCTTGTTGTAGATCTAGGGAACCCTCTCCCAAACAAATCACAACTTTCCCAATCGTCTTTCCACATCCCCCAAATTCACTTCTACCAACGACGGTCGTCAGTTGATAAAGGAGAGGCACAGAAGAGGCACCATGACGATACCGACTAGATATTGGTGTATGTGGATGAATTTAGCTTAGGAACACCATGATGGCCAATTTTCTCCCAGGCAGGGGACGCAGCAGCGGGCGAGCCTTGGTGGTTTCTACGTTAGCGGGGATTAAAAATACTACTTTTTGTTTGGTTTTATTTTTTAATAGTTGGAATAATGAGGTGAAAATTCTAATATATTAAAAATATATTATTATTATTTTAATTGACACGTCGCTCATTTAACGGTCAACCATGAGAGTTGACCGCCACTTAGGACAAAGATAACAAAATTGGACGGAGAGTGACTAAATTTGAACGATTCAACTAATTTTAGTTATCACAAATCGAATTAAATATTTTAAGCGAATAAACGTGAACTTTTTTAGTAAACTCAATGTAGAAACTTGCAATTTACCCTAACAAAAAATTCGAAGCAGCACCTCGGAGGACGGGAGGAAAAGGAGACAAGCCATGGACATAAAATTTTTTTTTTTTTTACCAAAAGCTCACTTGCATTACTAAGAAAAGAGATATAAAGTTTACAATTCAGACCTCAATCAAGAGGCGAAATCAAAACCCACCACACTAGTAGGAAACAAAGAATGATTTTTCTAGCCACCAAAGGTTCTACCTACCTATGGACTGGATTCTGAACTCACTGTACTTATGTCTCCAAACCCCAACGTCCTAGAGAATAATCCATCTTCGAGCATCTAGCATAGTCCCATAGCTAAACTTTTCAATAACGTTAGCAACATCTCCCACAATTAGAACCACCTCAAAACCCTTTAAAGAGCACCAACGAATAGCGTCCCGAAATGTGACCAACTCCACTATAAAAGGATCCACCAGTCCTGCATATACATGCACAAGAATAATCGATCATGAACCATGTTGCACTACTACCCCCTGCCCCATGCGTCCCAGCAGCAATCGCCCCATCCACATAACACTTGACAACCCCTGCAGGCAAGACAGACGGCCCGACAATAGGATGAATCATCCTTGGAACTACCATGTCCTGATTTACAATCCCCCACTCCTGCAGCTGGAGACGATACTGCCGAAGCAATGCGACAGAAATATATTGCAATGCTCAAATGCTGCCCAGTTTCGCGACTTCCATATCCGCCAAAAGAGAGCCACCACCTGCATTGCACGAGTAGGAGAATCATCGCGCTCTATTAACCGACGAAAAAACAAGGCAAAGTTACTCTTCGGCAATCTCGCTTTGGCTGCCATCAAGCCCGCTCCCTGCCAAAGTCTAACCGCTGCAGTGAAGGAACAAATGCTCCATAGTCTCAACCAGCTCCCAACAAACTGGGCACATGTTCTGAACCTAACATCCTTTCTCCTCTAAAGCTTCCAGAGCGGGAAGGATTTGTCGTAGTGCTTGTCATACAAAGAATTCCAGTTTCTGCTGTATCTGAAAGCTCCAAACTTTTTTCCAAAAAGGAGCATCAAACCAGGAGACTTCATCCTTCCATCCCCCAGTGGCCCTAGACAAACGGACAACCAGGTGATGGTCGGACTTCACAGAATACTCACCTATCGTATCCTCCTGCCACACCAAACGATTCAACAACGGTTCTCTAGGTAAAGAAACTTTAAGAATTGACCAGATTACCTCTGGCGGGAAACAGAACTGTAAGCAGTGCTCACACCAAGACCCTCCCTCGTCTGCAAGCAAGGTATCCACGGTTTGCTCTGGTTGGAGCAAGACTCCATGTCGCACCGCCAACTCCCCTCTTTGAGTTGGGATCCATCTATCCTCAATAATTCAAATAGACTCATCCGAACCCACTTGCTAACACAGCCCATGTCGTAGTAATTCCCATCCGCGAAGGATCCCCCTCCAACCCCATGAAGGCCTAGAGCGAGCCCGTGCCTCTAAGAATGAGCAATCAGGGAAGTACTTCCCCTTTAAGACCCTAGCTGATAACGATGTATTTGCACATGTTTGCACCCTTAGTTCTTATCCGTTTGCGGGGCATAGTTGTTTATTTTTGGCCTATTTTACACCGGGTTGTGCTACTTTGTCATATTTCAAGTCCCAGACGTCGAAGGAAAGGCTAACCACGAGTTTCGAGCCATTTGGAGGTCATTCGGTCGAGCTGGGGCCAAAGCACAGACAGGAGGCCTGAAGAGCACGGCCGTGTTCTTGGGCCGTGTTTTTTATGCCGAGGCTCGATCCAAGGTGCTCCTGCGATG